TTTTATTTGGTAGAATAGTGTAAATGTTAATTAAATATAATTACAATGTTTTTTCAATTCAACACATCTTTAATTAAGGATGAAAATTAATCTAACCATTCAAACCTCAAAGTTTTGAAGTTATACGATCTAAAATATAAAAAGAAAAATCAAGAAAATAAACATAATATTACAATAGTTCTATCTCCAAAAGTCATAATAAAAATTTATTAAAAAAATACAACAATGACAGTCACGACCCTGAATCCCCTAAAATGACACCAAAATATGTAGCAATATTGTATATAATAATAAAGATTATTAATTAGTATAATACAAGTTGAGATAAGAAATTGAAAGAGATAAATTTGGGGACAGAGCAAAAAAAAGTGGCTAGGATAGGATAAGAAATTAGAGTTAGAAGTTTAAAAGAAATAAAAAAGAGAATTTATGATGAGGTTTGATTTTGAAAAATGGCCCAATGATATTTGATAATTAAAAATGTCCATATCTTTCTAACTATTTTGAAGGTTTGATTTTGACACTTCTACCCTTTTTTTTTTTTAAAATTTGGTTATTATTTTTAAAATCAAATATCCTAACTTCCATTATATTTCCTATATTCTATTCCTCATTGATTCTACCRTTATGTAGGTAGAGTGCTTTATGTTCCTCCTTTGTTCCTCTATTCACCATGTTTGTTCTGTAGACATTTTCTCCTTGTTGATTGAGAATCGTGGTTACTGCAGTTTTACCGGTCTGCCTGTCCCCAATAATTAATTCTCGCTGACCACGTCCGATAGGAATCATTGAATCAATAGCAATAAGTCATGTTTGAAGAGGCTCATATACGGAACGTCTCGAAATAATACCAGGAACGAGGGATTCAATTAACCGAGATTCAGAAGCTGAAAYTTCACCTCGGCCATCAATAGGTTTAGCCAGGGCATTTATAACACAACCTAAATAAACCTCTATTTGTTCGTCTGTTCACCGTATTTATTTCTCTGTTCGCCGTATTTGTTATTTGTTCTCTGTTCGCCATATTTATTTGTTATTTGTCCCTCTATTCACCATGTCTTAGTATTTCTGTTTCTAACCACATTGTTTTGAGTTTTAATATCTGTGTTTCTAATTACATTTTGTTTATTAACGTTTATTATATATTTAAAGATTTTTAGTATCATTCTCGAAAATGATTTTATTGTTTAATGAATATTTTTTTTTAAGATTTGTTACCTACAAATTTATTGGAAAAATATTTGAATTAGATAAGATTTTAAAAATATTTGAATTAGTAGGATTCTCCTATAAAAATGGAAAAATAATATATTTATTTTAAAATTATTTGTGAGAGGGTAATTTCGTAACTAAAAAATTAATAGAGATTTTCCTATTTTTACGTTGTCCATTGTTGAAAACTTAAAAGGTTGTTTGGCATCTTTTGAAATTGCCTATTTTAAATGTTGTTATCCCAATAAAAAAATGACTAAATGGGCTTTTTTTTATTGGGCTTGAGCTGTTGGGCTTCTTTTTAAACAAATTAAATTAAAAGTATTATTAAAAAAATAATATATATTATTATTATTAATTTATTATATATAAAAATATAAATACTAATAATATATTAGAGGGAACATGGTCGAAACTGTCTCGAAGTGAATGAAAGGAAGTTAAGGGTGACGGTATTCTGCCTAAATAGTAGACACCGGCATCAAATTTCAGGGCTCAACTCTAGATAAGTGTGGAAACTATCAAGCTGGTCGGACGTCTGGTGTGACGTCGGACACATTATATATCCTACTCGAAACGTTTCTGTTGAGAAACTTGATTGGGATCTCCGAATCATCTTCAATCAAATTATTCTCAACCTAATCTAAAGAGATTGGATCCCACAGGTATTTTTGTCAACCTTAATATAACTACTAAAATTGATATTTTGAAAGAACGATAAAATAAAAAAGAATTGAAAGTATCAAATTATAGACTACTTTAATCCTAATAAAAATATATTCATAACTTTGACGGTAAGTCAACGGCAACATTTGACAGCTTACCCACTTTTTAACTTTTATTTTATTTTCCGCCACTCCCTCCAGTCTTCCCTAATTCTAACTTTTCACCAAATATTTTGTACTGCAACCCCACGCGACAGTGACACGGATCACTTGACTTTCAGTCAAACTAATAATAATTCCAAAAAAAAAAATTAA